CTTAACTTCTTTGCTGAGATCACAGGCAATGATGGTTTGATGCTGGGAACAAAGAAGGCCCAGACAGTACTGTTCAGCAAGCAATTATTTTATGCCTTTTCTTTCACTGGTTAAAATAAAAGAACATAATATTGACATCATACAAGCAAATGAACAATAAAAACACTTATGCTGAACACAAGTGCATTCTACATCTTACTTTTTATTATTAAGGAAGTTTTATTGTAAAAGAAAGGCTTTGATATTAACACATTCAGTGCTAAAGGGCTCCCCAGTAGGAGGACTGCACCAGAACACGAAGCTTGGAATACAGTATATGCCAAGAATGACAGCTTGCATGTTTGGTGCTGGCTTTCATTTGGATACACCTGTAACCAGAGCAAGGAGGAGTAGAGATTGGCAAGCTAACTAGAGCAATATATCAAATTACTTTTTAAGAAAGTTAACTGTCTATTAAGTATTTAATGTCAACTAAGTATTATGTGGTACTTCACAAATATCCCAGTTCTAAAAGGCTATCAGAATGAGAACTTCAAGAGGACAAGGCCACTGATCTAACTGTGGAATCTCCTGTAGAGTAAGAGTGGCCCTGGAGAAACACCCCAAAAATCTAAATGGACGTGGAGTAAATATGGCAAGAAGGGATGATTAACACCAAGAAAGCAAGATTTAGAAGTTGTCCAAGAAAGCTGCCAAAGTCACATGGATAAGAAGCTGCTGAATAATTCTTTATACCCAGGTCTCCTTAAATTCAAGTCCAGGTCACAGATACACTAAAAGTAACAGTGAAATAGATCATATCCACATCGCTCTGGCTTCTCACCACTAAGAGGCAGCATTTCCAAGACATTCACTTTGTGTTTTAATCTTTCTTTTAAAATTTCCAATGGCTTTAGTGGTACTTTAATTGAATATTCTTTTTAAAAATTTTAATGCATTTTTAATGTTATTGTAAAGGTGATGGGCAGAGGGGTTGCAGTTAAATAAGTCAGGTAAAGAGTACATTTCTTTTTGAACAGTGTCACCCCTTCCCTCACTTTCACCCAGTTTTTCCTTCTTATCCCCACCTGTAAGTTGTATCGTGCACTTTCAATATAATGTCAAGTGAGTACCACTGCTACAGTCTTTTACACTTTGTACCACAATTTCTGTGCTGCCCCCTTGCCCTCTCTAAGACAAACCAACAAACAAGAAAAAAGGAAGAGAAAACAGGGTTGGGAAGGTGGCTCAGTGGTAGAGTGCTTGCCTTGCATGCACGAGGCTCTGTGTTCCATTCCTCAACACCACACAAGCAGAAAAAGCCACAAGTGGCACTGTGGCTCAAATGGTAGAGCACTAGCCTTGAGCTGAAGAGGTGAGGGGACAGTGCCCAGGCACAGAGTTCAGGTCCCACGACCGGCAAAAAAAAAAAAAGGAAAAGTAAAAGAAAACAGCAACACCAAGAAAGAAAAGAACCTCTTATTTCCTTTCGATAAATATTAAGACATTCACTTTTAGGAGTAAACAGTAATCTCCATTCTTGCAAAACAGCGACCACAACAAGGTCTTGAAGAAGAGAAGCCTGTTAGCAAGACCTAACAAAGCACAAAGGAAGTGAGTTAAGGATTGGCATACCAGAGTAAGAGAGTTTGACTTTTGCTCTGTACATTTGTTTTATAATGAAATTTTCACCTACCATTATACTAAACATGTCCTTATGTTTCCTTCTGGACTAGAACTTGATGGCTTACACTTATTTAAAAATTTTTATTTTGAAAAAATAAAAAACCAATACTCACAAAATGTTGAAAAATAAGCTTTGCGCTTGTGGCTCACTTCAGTAATCCTAGCTACTCATGAGTCTGAGACCTTAAGGATCATGGTTCAAAGCCATCCTAGGCAGGAAAGTCTGTGAGACTCTTATCTCCAATTAACAGCAAAAAGCTGGAAGTAGAGCTGGACTAAAATGTTAAAGTGCCAGCCTGGATGAGAAAGCTAAGAGATCAGTACCTAGGTCCTGAGTTCAAGCCCTAGTACTGGCAGCAAAAGAAAAAAACTGAAAAATACAACAGAAGGTTCCTTTGCACCCAGCATCCTCTAGCAGCAAGCATTTCCCCAATTTTCTTAATAAAAATTAAGAAACTGACAAGTGACTAGAGTACAGAACTTGCTTAAAATTCTACCCAGTTTTTCATGCACGTCATTTTTCTTGTAGATATGTCTTGTGCATAGGTCTCAGGAAGAGGTGTTCCTCTGTAGCTACAGAGCAAAGTTTACTGCACTGAGATAGGAAAGGATGCCTCAGGCAGGTCGGCAATGTGCAAATCCTTTCTACCTCAAAGTTGTAGGAAGGAAAATTCGTTTTAAAGACCTCAAGAAAAAGAGGTGGAGTGGGGCAACTGAGGAAATAAGTCATTTTTCTGTGTTTAGCTAGGTAGGCTCTAAGAGGCTAAAGTGCTTGGAGACCAATTTGGACAAAAAAATTTGGAGTGACCCCATCTTAACCATTAAAGCTGAGTATGGTGGAATGCACTTACTATCCCCAGCTACAGGGAAAGCATAAATACAGTTATGATCTAAGCTAGCCTATTTCAAAAATACATAAAGCAAAATGGGTTGAGGTTGTGGCTCAAGATGTAGAAGGCCTATGCTGGGAAGGTGGCTCAGTGGTAGAGCGCTTGCCTTGCATGCCTGAGGCCCTGGGTTCAATTCCTCAGCACCACATAAGCAAAAAAGATGAAGAAGGCCTGATTTGCAAGTGTAAGATCCTGAGTTCAAAACCTAGTATGGCTAAAACAACAACAAAAACAGAGCAATAAAGACAAGATTGTTAGTTCTTTTTACAGATAAGGAAATTAAGTTTAGAGAAATAAAGTGATCCACCTAAAGCTAAAGCTAGCTAAAAAGAACTGGGATTCAAAAACTGAGTGGGTAAGAACAGAGGCAGATGATTAGGTTCAAGTCTACTTGCTAACAGTGTATAAATGGTTAAATCTACTATACACGGCACCCACCATATTGCCTGGTTCAAAGATCTTCAATAGCTATCAGTTGCCTGCAAATGTATTAAAACAAATACAACCTCTGACTGCTTGCTTGACTGGAATAGCAACCCATGGTCCACCAAAGTGTGGAGTAGATGCAGAAACCTAGGGTTATTGACTTTTGAGTTAAGACAAATACATGTAGTGTCCTGGAAAGGATCAAGATAACCCTTATGACATACCTAGCTCAGAGAAAAGAAGAACTTCCTGAGTCTTTTGTTGGTTATTACCAAAGTGTCTGAGACTTCTTTTACTTCCTTTCTCCTACCTCCCACCCTCTGAACAACCTCACAGGCAGAAAGGCAAGTCATACTCAGAAGGAAGAGGAAATGAGATGGGCCCTTTTCTAAATAAAAGAGATTCAAATTCACACATCATGATCTGTTAAACCAAAAAGTGTGGGAACAACTGGTTCTATGTTCAAAATTATCCTTTCTCAAGTTTTTGAAATGAAAAAATATTTCTATATTCAACATTATTTTCTTTCAGGTCAGCTGGTTTACTACACAACATTGATTCATGGGCATAAATTTGAAAAGTGTAATTAAACTGTTCAGAAGATAGATACATACACATAAATTACTAATATAAGAAAAAGTATTTTGACTGGTCAAATATTCAGCAAATATTCAGGTTAATAAGATTGGAAAGGCAGCTGTATTTTTCAAATATATGTCTACACCTGAAAGGTATTAATGGCAAATGGATTTATGATAAGGTTATACCTAAGGTGACAGAAACTTATCTGATACATATGTGACTCAGGGTAAGGGCATTTGAGCTTAGAATCTGATCCTTAAAGGAGATAAACGTGCTAGGTGTGAAGAATGGGAGAAAAGGAAGGGGTAACAAGGCCTCCTCCCCAGAGTAGGACTGAGGAAAAGTAGGATAATGAATCGTTTCTTTGGTACTACTGGACCTCCTTTCATCCTTCACCTGATTGCTTGAGACTTAGATGGAGACTTGATTAAACCAAATCACAAAGAAGTACAAAAGTTCTTAAGAGAAATACTTTCACCCAAACATCAATCAATTCACATTATCAGCCAAGTGGTGTTACCCAGAATACACCTTTCCATGTGTGAGCATAGCGTGAGGTGGGGGAGAGTATGGAACAACATGGCAATGCCCAGCCAAATTCTCTACCCTCCATCTCCAAATCAGCATTTTCAAGTCCATGTCTCCAGGATTCCTGCCTTTTATATATTCTACCTGTCTTCAACCTCTGAGACCATAGGTTCCTGAAATCTCAAAAAAAATTTTTTTCTCCTTGTGGAGTTGAAGGACTTTCATTATTTGTAAGGCAAGAACCAATGTGTGGTTATCTTCACACAAGTGAGATGCAACAGTTGCAAAGTATGTTGCTATCTATGTTCAACCCAGAAATTGCCACCTTTTAATCAAAAATCAAAGTTATCTAAGTGCCAGTGACTCACTTCTGAAATTCTAGCTATTTGGGAGGCTGGGATAGGGAGGATCATGGTGCCAGGGCAGCTTTAGAAAAGTTCAAAAGTCTCCATCTCCATAAAAAGAAGGTGGGTGTGGTATACTTGGCTATTCCCAGCTACAACAGGAAGAAAAAAATAGGAGGCTCTCAATCCAGGCATATATCTGGGCAGGAACTCTTCCTCAAAAACAACCAGCGCATAAGAAGCTGGATGTACAGATAGTACAGAGAGAGAAAGAGGAGTGAGGAAACAGGGGAGAAAAAGAGGAAAAGGTTATCTTAAAAAAAAAGTTCAGATACAATAACTCTACTCTGCTATCTGCTGTGATATAGGTATAGAGCTTAGAAACTTCATATATACGTATGTGTAAAACTCGTAACCCTCCTAAATGGACTAGACAGTCTTCTATTTTCATTTTCTTTTTGCCTCCAGCATTGAGGGCTAACAGGAAAGCAATGAGCTGGTTCTCTGTGAGACCCTAGGCTCGGTCAGGCTATAAGTCTCTCCCATCACATATGAGAAGACTTACCAGATTTTTCAGCAGTGTGGACAGTTCCTTTGTAAGAGTAGAAAACTTGACAAAAGCAGTGCCAAGATCGGGGTTGTCCCGACTTAAAAAATTACTCCCAAATTTATCAAGAACTTGTGCATAGTTTTCTTCATTTTGTACATGGTCTGAAAAGAGAAGATGAGAAGGAGTGTAAGCTATTATTTCACAATGAATAATTATACTGAACATTGATCACTGAAACTCTCAAAAGAAAAGAGAAGAGAAATTGCATCAACTATTTATTACACATGCCCAGCAGTTAGCAAACTGAAGGTTTTTTTTTTTTCTCCCTTTCCTCATGACAGACCAAGCTGGCTGGCCTCAGATTGTAATCCTCCTGCTTCAGGTTCCTAAGTTTGTGTGCCAACACATCCAGGTGTCTTACTCCACTTTTTTGAAGGGTTTCCCTTTCACAGAATTTAGCTCTTCAGCTCTTTTTCTTGTCTTTTTTTTTTCTTTTGTCAGTTGTGGGGCCCGAACTCTGGTCCTGGGCACTGTCCTTCAGCTCTTCAGCTAAAGGCTAGCGCTCTACCACTTGAGCCAGAGCGCCACTTCTGGCTTTTTCTGCTTATGTGGTGCTGAGGAATAGAACCCAGGGCCTCATGCATGCAAGGCAAGCGCTCTACCACTGGGCCACCTTCCCAGGCCCCATGTCGTTTTAAACATTTAAGATTTTCTTAAATATTTAAGAGTATATATTCTTAAATATTAGATTTGGGCTGGGCACCAGTGGCTCACACCTGTAATCCTAGCTACTCAGGAGGCTGAGATCTGAGGATCACGGTTGTTTCTCTTCCCCTAAGTTCTTGCTTTCCAGTCTATAAGATGAGGCTAAGGTCTATGGTAAAGGAATGTGGTGTTGAGTTGACACTAAGTATGTAAGATGTTCTCAACAGTGAATGTTCCACAAATAACAACAGCTAACTCCATACAAATCCTCCTTCACTTGGCTGTCCTCCTAGCTCCCCACCACCACCCTCCATTGTTGTTGATAGCTCTTCATCTTTCTGACCTTCCCCTCAGGCTTGTCTTTGGTACTTTATTCTTCTCTACCCATGATTACTCCCTTGGATCTCACTTAAGTCTTATTGACTTAAACACTTTCTGTTAGCTGACAACTCTAAAATGGATATTGCAAGCCCAGAGCCCAATCCTGAAATACGGACTTAAATATTATTTAATATTAAATATTAACTATCTATTGAGGGGCAGAAAGAGAGTCATAGTTTGAGGCCAAGCTAAGCAAGCACACTGTCTATACCTGTGAGGTATAGGTAGGGGGATCACAGTCCAAGTCTGGTCTGAGGCAGAAGTATGAGATCTTACCAGAAAATAACAAAACCAATAGGACTGGAAGTAAAGCTTAAGTGGTAGTGTGTCTGCCTGGTAAGCACAGGGCCCTGAGAACAATCAACACCCATCTCCATAAAACAAAACAAAACACCAAAAAAACCAAAAAACAAATAACCCTCAAATTACTGATTAAGTATCTCCACTTGGGTGCCTGGTAACAATGTTCAGTCTTAATATGTCTACAACAAATCCTTGATTGACTTTCTCAACCCTTTATCCACAATCCCTTCCCTTGGTCAGTTAATATCAAGTTACATTCTTGAAGCTATAACGCTGAAAAACATTAAATCATATTTCATTTTTATTTCTCATGCCCCAGATGCAATCCAGTGCAATCCAGTGACAAATTATGGGGCCTCCATTTTTAAAATACACCTGAAGTCTGACAACCACTCACCAACCTCCTTGCTAACATTACCACTCATCAAAAATACCCAGGGTATCCCAATCTTTATAGACATCAGAAAAGCAGTACTGTTCTTCTTGGCCATGTAAAGGGAGATCCATCTTTATTTCTTCATTTCCCTTCTCCTTTGCTATGGTATACAGAGAAGCATGCACTTGTATGGGGCACAGCATTTACTGGACCAAATAATGGACAGAGTATTTTTTGAAGTCCTGTCGTATGTATAATATATATATATATATATATAATTGTAAAGATACTGTACAGGGGGTTACAGTTGTATGAGTAAGGTAATGACTACATTTCCTATTGAGCACTGTTACCCCCTCCTTTGTTTTTCCCTTACCATCCCTTCCTTCCCACCTCCCAGCTCTTCCCCACAACTTGTAAAGTTTGTTTTCAACATAGTGTCTTGTATATCTCATTGTTAAAATGGGTCAATCTGTATCCTTGTTTCAGCATTTTGTTATTTCCCTTCCCTCTCCAAATTAGAAAAATGTATATACAAGATGCAGGCCACCGGAATCAAATACAGTGACAACAGGGGTTCGAAGTCCTGTCTTTAAAGACTGACTTCAAACCAGCACTTCTTTCCTAATCAAGTCTTCCCCCTTGGTTAGAAATAATCCCTGCTTACAATCTTCTGCACTTAATGGCTCCCAGGTAATGTATTTATACATGTTTTCATTTTTCCCTGTCACCAGACCATGAGAGGAAGAGTCACCTTGGTTCACTTCTGCATCCCCATCAACAAATACCCCCTGTCGAATTTTCCAGTGAGCTACACTACAAAAGTCAGGACTCAGTAAATATCTGTTGACTTGGAATTAATTTCTTTTTCAGAAAGTTGAGAAATACCTCCCTTCTGAAATCTCTTAGCTATTCAGAAAATCAAGGTTTTAGAAATTTCACTTTATTACATCCTTAGTAAGTGCTAAGAGACAATGAGTATCTGTGAAACAGAAAGGAGCCCAGACTAGGAACAAGCTGGGAAAGAAACATCTCTAGCAGTCGAATGAAATGAGACCCCAATGGCCTCCTAATCATCACTACATTAAAAATGCATGGGGCCTGCAGTGGTTGGCAGCATTTCAGGCTGAGATGAAAAAAAAAAAAAAGATAAAAATGCAGCTCTGGTTACATGCAGAGAGGCAGCACAGGAAAACAAAAGGCAAGACACAACAGCTGATGAGACAGGAAGCACATGTCTGACCTTGCACACTGCGGCAGCCAGCTCCAAGCCTCTGTATGGACCAATAAAGCACCACTGGAGACACTCATCATCAACAATCTCCCCCAACACTCTTCTCTGCCTCTGGAGGCCAATGAACAAAGATGTTCATTTCAACCACTTCCAAGGGAAGGAGCACAACTCTAGCCATCTATCATGTTACCCTGGTCCGAGGACTACCTCTCAGGGACTTTAGTCTCTGCATCTATAAAACAATGCCTGTCCCAGTCATTGCTAAGAGATAAAGGCACCATAATGAATATGCAAGCTCTTTTGGAAGGACAAAAAAAGCTATTCTAAGAGACACTGACTCATTTCCACTTGGTGAATGTTACAGGGAAGACCTGCAGGGCAACCATCACAGCTCATCTCCAGGCACAGAGGAACCTGACTGAGGCAGATGGGTGGAAGAGAAAGTACAGGCCTGGGGAAACAGAGGCATAGATCAGAATCCCTGCTGTGGTATCAAAGGGCCTTGTGTGACATTAAACTAAGTCTATCACTCTATAGGGCCTTGACTTCATATGTAAAATGGTACAAATCTATAAAATTTATAGTCAATCTCGAAAAATACTTTTATTAATTTCATCTACCTTGAGATGAAATTAGAACTTTAGTTCTAATGCTAATGGAACTGACAGTATCCTAATATTTTCAGAGGATTCTAGGAAATATAGGATAATTTTGGATCAAATTTTAGGTGAGGGTAATTTATGTATCATCTCTGGCTCTGCTTTCTTAGCTGTAATACCTACTTGATGGGGCTATTATGGGAAGCAGGTGAGAAAAGCCATCCAGTTTCAGAAAATGCCTAGCCCAGTCCTTTTGTCCAAAGTAACTTGATTCACTTCTGTATCTTCCCATTTCTTTCCTGGACCCTGGTCTCCCTTCAGGGTCTTTACGCAAGTCCTCTTGTGTGCCAACAGTCCACAGGGACATATGTTTATCATCTATCTCAACGAGCTCAGGAACATCTTAAGGAGAAAAGCTTGGATATATATGCTAATATTCTGGTCATACAGCCAACCCAAAGTTCTCCTGTCCACGAGCTCCACCATCGTTCCAAGGCTCCGCCTACCTAGTTCAAGGTAAAATATAGCGGAACCCTTCCCCCTCCTTCATGTCTAGAAATGCTGAAACACTCAGTTTTACTGGACTTGTGATATATTCTATGGCCAGTGCTGGGCTCAGCACACAGTGAGCCTTCAATAAGATGCTCACTTCAGGGAATGGTTCTCCTGGAACAAGTCCTCTTTCCCTCAGCCATGTGCCAGGCACAAAAACCACAATCAGCTGTAACTCCAACAACAAGGTGACTTCCTATGTGTCAGAAGTTCCAGTACTGGGATGAAGGGAAAGCAATAGTGCTTTTATAGCTCCTTATAGCTCTTATAGCTCATACTTTGCAGCACTTATCATTTAAAAATTTAATTCTATTTGTTTTTAAAATTACAAATCATTCATGTAACTAACTATACATCCAGTAAAGAGACAGAAAATTATATTTCCTTTCCTCTTTTCTAATCCCATTTCCTTAAAATAAGCTCACATAAACTGAGTGTATCTCAACAAAACTCTGTCCCCAATGCAAACACAGTTTCACTTCACTCTCACTTTAAAAAAAAGTATTACAGCAAAGTTTGCTTTGCTCCCACTAACAAAGATCAAGAAATTCAATACAAATACTTATTTTCTGTAGTGCTGTCCTTTGAACTCAGAGCCTCAGCAAGTGTTCTCTTACTTGAGCTATGCTTCTAGCCATTTTTGCTTTAAGTTATGTATAGGGGCTCCTGTTTTTGCCTAGCTAGCTTCTTCTTTGAGCTTCCCACACCGCTGAGATTACAGATTATATACCTTTCACCTTGATTTATTTGAGATGGGATCTTACTTTTTACCTGGGTGGCCTTAAACTATGATCTCTGCCTCCGGAGTAGATGAGATTATATAGGTTGAGTCACCAAGCCTGGTCTAATAGAAATGTATCTTATTTTAACAGTGTTTAGTACTGTTAAATAATAAACTATACAAATTAGCTGATAATCCCTATACTCAGAGACTTTCAGATTGCTCAGAGATTTCCCCCACCCCAAATTTATATACCCAAGCTTTTTTTTTTTAACTGCTATCACCTTATT